CTCAAGGGGATGCAGACTCCATTTCCCAGAATGCTATCCCTGGGGGTCCTGGGCTACAGTGGCCCGTGGGGGACCTCTGCCTTGCCTGGGATGGTGGGCCAAAGGAGTGGGCATTTTAGGTCCCTGGCACCCGCCCCTTTCTCTCTGGGTCCCTCGCCTCAGGGCACCTGAGACAAATGAGTGCGTTGTACCCAGAGGTGTTCTAGAGATGTGCACAGCGGCCTCATTTCCGCCTTGGACACCCCTGCCGTGGAAGCTAGGGAGGGAGAATCAGCCTTCTGTTGTGCACAGCTGCTGCAGGGTACAGCCTGGAGCAGGTGTGGGGCTGCCGCTTCTGGGGCACAGCCTTCATCTGCAACCTGCCACCAGGCTGAGTCTCCAGCTCTTCGGGCTCTGAGACAGGCCAGCCTCAAAGTTGTAACCCTCCTGTCTCAGCCTCCTGAGTGGCCGGGGTGACGGGTGTGCCTTCTGAAGGTGCTACCACCTCTCAACACAGCCTGTAATCCCAGCACTGTTCCACGAGAGACTAAGTTTCCTCGTGAGTCCCAGAGGGGACAAAGGACATCCAGACCCGAGCAGCCCTTTTTGGAATGACAAAAGCTCTTACAGTGGCAGCTGCTGCTCCCATGGAAAGGCAACTGCCACTTCTTGTTCTTGGGCTCAGTGGCTTCTAGTGATTGGGGTACAGCAGAGGCCATGTCACCCTATGCCCTCAGAACACAGCTCATGGCCACATGGAGGAGGTGTGGGACAGGGACTGGATGCCAAGGAGGGGCGGGCACATGGCCAGCATTCAGCAGTCACAGAGCTGGTTATGTGCTTTTCTATCTCTGAAATGACACTTCCCAGCCCAGGGATTTGGCACAGAGGCATAAGCACCTCCCTGTGCATGTGCATGGTCATGAGTTTGATCCCTGGTACAAAAAAAGATTACGTTTCCCTAAATCTTTAAAAAAGCTTATGAAGAAGGCATGGTGGCAAATGCCTATAATCTCGGCACCTGGAAGGCTGAGGCAGGAGTACTGTTATGAGTTTGAGACCAGCCTGGGCTACAAAGTGAGCTCAAGGCCAGCCTGAACTGCATAGAGAGACTCTGTCTCAAAAAAAAAAAAAAAAAAAAAAAAAAGAAAGAAAGAAAGAAAAGAAAAGGGTAAGCTTGAGTGATTTGTAGGCAAACGTGTACCTGCAGACACTGAAGCCTCAATATTGCATGGTTTCTCTTATGAGACCCAAAGAGCACATAAACAGCGAAAGAAAAGGGAGATAATTGGAAGCGGGGAGCCAACTGTTATAAATGGGAAGGGGCCAAGAGATGGAGGGGAGGAGTGAGCGAAGGAGATATAAAGGGAATTGAGGAAGATGATAATTATGTGCTACAAACATGAACTAATAAAAAGAAACATTTTTAAAATGAAATTATATCTTGCTTTTAAAAAAAGGCCAGCTGGGCATGGCAGTGAAGTCATGCCCGCACTCAGGAGGTTGAGACAGAAGGATCACCACGAGTTCAAGGTCAGCCTGGGTTACACTACAAGACCCTGGCTCACAAAACAAAGAAGCCAATGAACAAAAAATAATGAGGAAGAGTTACACCATGACAAAGCTACACGAAATAGGAGGTTGGCCCCTCCCTGGGGATCACCAAGGCCTACATGGGGTGCTCTGGAAACCCTGTACTCTGGGAGGCTGAGGTAGGGGGATTCAATTCCAGGCAGCCTGGGGAACTGAGAAACTTAGTGACGCCCTCAAAAAATAAAAAGGGAACCAGATGTGGCGGTGCATGCCTGTAAGCCCAGCACTTGGGAAGCTGAGGCAGGAGGATTGCTATGAGCTCAAAGCCAGCTAGGACTACACAGTGAGATCCTGGCTCAAAAAAACAAAAAGAAAAGTGGAAAGGAGGATGGCGAGGCATGTGATGGCCTCATGGCCATGTGTGATTTACTGAAATACGTTTTTAGACGTTTGTAAACATTCACTGTATTTTGATCACACCTCGCATACCCTTCTCAAATCTATGTGGAACATTCACCAAGTAAAATCACACATGAGGCCAGAAACCAAGTTGGCTAAATGTAAAAGTAAACCTCTCCAGAGTCAATTCCCTGCTTACTGCGGTGTCAGAGCCGTTGAACTAGTGACCGCTAACGAGCCGGGCCAAAAGCACTGAAGTGGACAGGAGACAGGAACACCCTGAAGGCATAGAATGCTGGAGGGGGCAGGTGTTCCAGCTGGAGCATTTGGGGCAGGAGACTCTTCCCCAGGGACTCAGAGCTTCTGCAGCCACGACACAGTAGAGTTCAATGGGAGGCAGCACAAGGCGTGGGTCTGTGCAGGTATGGAGGGACCGCACTGCACAGTGCCACATGGGATTGTCAGCAATTGGCAGGTGACTACAAGTGCACAGGCAACGCGTGTGGCTTCTGTGCAGTCTCGGCCAGCTACAAGCTCGCTGTGGAACCCAGGCTATCTTTGAGCTTGTGGTGAGTGTCCTGCCTCAGTCTCCTGAGCGCTGGTGCCACCATGCACAGATAAACACACTTCTAAGTAAGCCATTGGTTGGGAAAGAAATCACATGTGAAATTAAAAAATGTTGAGTGGAATGATAACAAACCAGAATGCACTGAAACACATAGTGTGGCTAAGGGCACACCTGACAGGGACAAAGGGCTTTGCCTGGACCGCAGCATCCTGCAGATAGCTGCGTTAGTAGGGATGCTGGTGACTAAATGGGCTTGGCATAGTTCTGGGTGTGGACAATGGAAGTCACACACTGGTGTGGGTGGCACCAACTAACAGCCTTGTGGCCTGGAGGGGGGTTAGGAGAGAGGAGGGCAGGGTGCTGCTGCCCTACTGCCTCCAGCCACACCATGGACCATTTCTCCTCCATGATGCCCTCGCTGGCCTGCCTTGCAGCCAGCTGACTGGACTGAAACCTGTGCAAACTGTGAGCTAAATAAACCTTTCCTCCCTTAATTCTGGGCCTCAGGTATACCCATATCAGAAAAGAGGCCAGGGCCAGGTGTGATGTTGCACATCTGCACATCTGTAACCCTAGCACTCAGGCAGGAAGATCACAAGTTTTGAGGCATCATGGACTACAAAGTGAACCCTGTCTCAAACAAAGAAAGGCAGTTTTTAAGTGTACAAATAGTTGCCCCTCAGTATCCACAGCAAACTGGTTGACCAATCCTCTGTTGTAGCATTGTCCTGTTTAGGGAATGACAAGAAAAAGCCTGCATTACAGTGAGTTAAGGCTGGCCTGGAACTGGGCATGGTGATGCATGCCTATGACCCCAGAATCCAGGAGGCTGAGGCACAAGGATTGCCATGAATGGGAGTTCAACCTGGGCTACATAGTAAAAGCCTGCCTCAAAACCAAAACAAGCCAAAGATGTAGCTCAGTGGCACAGTGCCTGCCTGGCAAATGTGAGGTCATGAGTTCAGTTCCTGACACAAAAAAAGGCCAGCCTGGCCTATAGGGCAAGAGCACATCTCACAAGACAAATGGAGAAAAGAGGAGAGGAGGAAGAGAAGGCTAAACTCAGTTAGTCCAGGTGAGGCTCTGAGAAACTGAAAAGTATGGATTATCCCCCAAGTAAGAAAAAGACAGGAAATGCTCCAGTGGACATGAATAAAATAGAAAAGTAAGAAAACCAAACTGGGACAACCCACTGGGGCACCCTTCTGTCTCTCTCAGACACAAGCTTTCTCTCAATAAACATTTCTGCTCCAAATTATCACTAAAACAGGTTGACTACTGAACAAAGGAAGCTGGGAGTGGTGGTGCACACTACAGTCCCTGCCACTGGGGAGGCTGAAACAGGGTGGCCGCTGGGACTCAGGGGCAGCAAACAAAACACACACTGCCAATATCCAGGATGGAGGAGGGGTTACTACAGGCCCTACAGGCGTTAAAGGAATGAGGTGAGCATCATGAGTACCACTTGTTTACTGTTTTGTCTTGCTACACTCAGGTTGGCCGAGAACTCACTATACAGCAAAACGCTAGCACTGAACTCACAGCAACCCTCCTGCCTGAGCCTCCCAAGTGGTGTGATCACCTACATGTGTCATCATGCCTAGCCGTTATTTTTAAAATAAGGGGCTATTCACTTTGTGCCATCTCAAAAGCAATGGACAAATTCCTCAAAGACAACCGAGGCTGGGAGTGGTGGCACAGCCTTCTAATCTCAGTACTTTGAGAGGCTGAGGCAGGAGGATTCCAAGTTTGAGCCCAGTGTGGTCAATTTATGAACTCAGACTATTTCCAAGTAAAAGAAAAATGGGCTGGTGATGAACTGCAGAGGCCCTGGATTCAATCTCGGTACCGCACACACATGCCAAAGACATAAACATACAAATTGTCAAAACTGACAAAGAAACCAAAATTGTAGAAGGCCCAATATGTAATTAAGGAAAATGAATTTGTAATTCAAAGCTTTCCCAAAGGGCTGTGGGTATAGCTCAGTGACAGAGTGCTTGCCTAGCATGTGTGAGGCCCAACTCAGACCCAGCATGCTGGGGAATAAAGAAAAAATACCAACCACAAGAATTCCGAACCAAACCAAACCAAACCAGCCTTCCCAGAAGGAAAACTCCAGGTGCAAATGGCTGAACTCCTCAATCTACCAAACACCTAAATTGAATAAATACCATCACCTGGCTTCGGTGGCACATGCCTGTAACCCCAGTACTCTCTGGGAGGGAGGCTGAGGCAGGAGGATTGCAAGTTTGATCCCAGCCTTGGCAACCTAGAGAGATTCTGTCTTGAAATAAAAGGAAGGAAGAAAGGAAGGAAGGAAGGAAGAAAAAGGGAAATAGGGCAGGGCATGTGGCCGCGTGCAAAGGACTGGGTTCCAGGCCCAGTACCAAAAAAAAAAAAAGCAAAGCCACAAGGTACTCAAGGCAAAGTGTAATGACATGCTGTCCCGAGTGCACCCTGGCTGGCCGTGAGGTGCAAAGGCCTGGGAAGGCGCAACAGACTCCAGGTGTGGCCAGTGTGGGAATGTGAAGTCTTTATTACTGAAGGATGACTTGGGTGTCACTGATGCCTGCTTTCCGGGCTTGTAGTGTGACTGCTGGGGCCTCGCTTCTGCTAACACTGCCCCCCCCCTCTGCCTGCCTCAACTTCCCACTCGCGTGGGGACACCGGCCACGGGCTCGCCTGACCCCAGCTAGTGGCCAGCTGAGCTGTGGATCTGGGGCCTGCTGGGCATGGAATCATGTGCGGTGGCCTGTAGTGGCCTGGCTGGCAGGCGGCCGAGCCGATCACAGTCGCTTCCCCTTTTCCAGTGGTGCTGGCATGGGTGACGCATGGTCAGGGCTCCCCGAGGTGCCACAGCAGTGCTGTGGAGCAGCCCCGAGACATGGTGCCCTTAGTACCACTGCGCTGCCTGTGCCTGTAGCCCCAGGGCAGCAGGAGGGACATGCCGTGAGAACTTCTGACCATGAGAACTTTGCCTTCTGGGCCTGATGATGGGTCAGCTCTGGAACTCGTCACTCTCTTCAGGCCCCTGTCTGGTGCTGGGTTCGAGGCCCAAGTCTGCGGAGGGGAGGGGACAGACCATGTAAGAAGGGGTTCCGAGTGTGCATGCTGGGGCCTGCTCATGGGCACGGGCGGGTGGCACCTGGCAGGGAGCTGGATGACAGCAGCTGCAGGCTGTCCAGGACGCCACCCTCGTATAGGGCCAGCTTCTGCACCATCCTGCGCCTTGCTGGGTTGATGACAATCTGCAGCGGCTCCGAGGCAGATGAGGATGAGGAGGCAGGGCTGCCCGGGGAGGACCCTGTGGAGGACAGGACACGGGCAGCCCTGCTCACTCTTGAGGGGAATGGGACATTCTCTGGGTACTATCCACCCTCTCCCACACCCCCATACCTTCTGTGGCTGGGGTGTTCCCTGAGCTGGACTCTCCAGTGGGGCCCGGGGTACAGCTGGGGCTCAAATGCCAGGAGTGCAGGACGGCAGAGAGGCCTGGCAGGCTCTCGTCGCTCTCCACAGGCTGGTTGGGGCTCTGGCGGGGCTGTAGGGTGGAGTGGGTGGGGCCACCTGAGGGCACCAGCAGGGGCTGTAGCAGGGCACCCTGACTCCGGGAGCTGCTGGCGCCAGACATGTAGGAGTTCTCCTGCGGGAATGGGGGACCCCGGCCGGCTGCCTCGGGCTCCCACAGAGATCCGGCCATAGCTGCCTGTAGCCCCTCCAGTCGCTCGTACACCTATACAGGGCAGAGCTGTCAGATGGGCGTGACCTCCCCACCGCAGCTACCCTTGGCAGGGACCTGAAGTGGCTGGGAGTCACCTGAGTCATGGGCGGCCTCCGCTTGGCTCGGCGCTGCAGGCAGCAGCAGGCCAGCTGCCCGAGGCTCAGACCCAGCCGTGACGGGCACAGCCCAGGCCTGGGGTCCAGGTGCTTCTCGACGATCTGGGCAGCAATGGCTGTGGCCCAGGTGTCAGTGGCCGGGCCGGCCTGGAGCATGGTCCCGGTGCTCTTCAGGGTCAGCCCCGCCTCCTCAGCCTCCTCTTCCACCAGGTCTTTCTGTGGGTTGACATCGTGGTCCCACAGCTGTCTCTTCTGGACACCCCAAATCCCGGCCGCAGAACACATTTGCGGGTATGGGAATGTCACGTTCCCAAAGCAAGGCCTCGGCCAGCAGCTGAGGCCGTGGACCACGGGCAGAAGGGCAAGGTGGGCTGGTGGCTCGCTGGTGGTGGGCCCGGGGCAGCGAGAGTCATGTGTGCAGGAGAGGGGATGGGAACAAAGAGGGGACGGCCCTTGCTGCCGTGTCCCACCGGTCTACCCCAGTCTCTTCTGTCCCCGCCCTGTTCCCAGCCCTGGTCATCATTGAGGCCTGGAGAGCAGGCAGGACAGAGACAGGTTTCGGGGAGGAAAGGAAGGCGAGCCACTGGCACAGCGGGCTCACCAGATACTTGGTCCTGGAGTTCTGTGTCCTCACAGCCCGCTGGCCAGCCAGGGTCTCCAGCACAACCTGGAGAGGGTAGCACAGAGCAAGGGCCTGACCTCAGCCTGGCGGCCCCCCAGAGCTGACTGTGAAGGAGCTCAAGGTGACAGACACCAAATGTGATTCAGGGAAACGATGGCACCGCGCACACAAAGAAGCACCTGGTGCTGCAGTTTGGCCAACCTTGGGCTGCCACAGACCTCCCCAACCCTCCTGCCTTGGCCTATCACATCTCTCCCCGCCAGCTCCGGCTTCACGCTCACCACCCCGAAGCTGAAGGTATCCGTGTCCACGGCCAGCCTGCCAGTCTTGATGTACTCCTCTGGCAAGTAGGCCAGGGTGCCCCGCACCGTGTGGGTCCGTGCCACGGCACTGCTCTGGCCTGGTGTGGCCCCTGTGAAGCGGCTGAACCGTGCCAGGCCAAAGTCCCCCAGCTTGGGCATCAGCCTGTCATCCAGAAGCACATTGGAACTGGGGGAACAGAGACAGTGACGTGAGCAGCCCCATTGGGAGGGGCCTGGCACTGCCCACCTGGCACCTTGCCTGTGGAAAGGCTTGTGGCGGGCCCACTTCCACAGCTGTGCCACACCAGGCTGCTTGATGCCCGGGAACCCAGGCCCTGCTCTCACCTCTTGATGTCACCATGGATGAGGCTGGGGCTGTGCTGATGCAGAAACTGGATGGCCCGGGCGGTGCCCAGCAGGATGTCCAGTCTCTGCGGCCAAGAAAGAGGCAGGCACGCCTGGGGCTGGAGGCACAGGAAACAAAGATGCGGCCCGAGGGCTTCTCTGAGCCCAACCCTCTCCCTACCCATCACTGTGTGGCCTCGATCAGGCCAGCCATTCCACACACTGAGCCTCACTTTGCCAGGTGGGGTGACCCGTGCCTGTAACCCAGCACTCAACAGGCTGAGGCAGGGTGATTGCTGCAAGTTCAAAGCCAGCCTGGGTGAACCAAACCAACCAAGCAACTCCCAAGCAAGTCTGCTTTCAGAGGTGATGCCTGGGAGCAGCAGCAGGACAGTGTCCCTCCAGGGACAAGGCCTGCTTCTGGGCATGCTGGGCACCAGGTGCCACAGGGGTGCAAGAGGCCCTGCGCAGGTGCCAGGCAGCTTACTGGGAAGTGCAGGCGATCCTCCAGGGAGCCGTTGGGCAGGAAGCCGTAGATGAGACAATAGCAGCCCTCCTCGGCACAGTAGCCAGCCAGGTCCACGATGTTTGGGTGGCGGAACCTGTGTGATGGCAAGTGGCAGTTGCGCCTGCGCTGCGCTGTGTCCTGGCCGCAGCCGCAGGGAAGGCCTGGCTCACCTGGACAGCTGCTCCACCTCGGTTAGGAAGCTCTGCTTCACCACGGCCCACTCCAGGTCGGCGTCCTGCGGTGGGCAGCGCAGGGTGAGCCCTGGGCCCACGGCCTCCCGCTGGCCCCCGTCCCTGTCCCTGTCCTTGGGCCGCACTACCCACCTCCTTGAGCCTCTTCACTGCATACGTGGTGTTCCGGAGCACAGCTCGGTACACACAGCCGAAGCCACCCTCGCCAACTCGCAGCTCGGCCGAGAAGTCGCGGGTGCCGCGGGCGATCTCACCGAGGGGCCAGCAGAAGGGGCCGGGCCCGGGCCCCTGCAGCAGGGACCCCACGCTGGGCTGCGGCCAGCGACCTGGTTGGAGGAGGTCGCGGGTGCGAGCTGCCCACCCCGGCTGCCTCCCGGCCGGCACCGGCCCAGCGGGGAGGGGGGCACCTACCTGGGCGGAGGGCGGGGCCGGCGACGGGGACAGCGACTGCGGAGGCTGCTGCGGGGCAGCGGGGCTCGAGCTGTACCCAGAGTGGGGCGGGGGTCCTGGCGGGGCTTCACAGAGGCGCCAGTGAGGGCGAGGCGGGCAGAGCCTCGGGCGCCACCCCTGTGCCGTCCCGGCCCCTTACCTGGGGAGGGCACGGTGGAGGCTGAGGACGGCCACTTCCGGGGGCCGGGGGCTGGGGCTTTGGTGGGGGCCAGGCCACTGTCACCAGCGCTCGGGGGCGGGAGGGGCGCGGGGGGCTGCCCTGTGGCCACAGGAGGAAAGGAGGGTGAGGCTACGGGGATCCAGCCCGGGGACTGGGGTGCGCGGGGCATAGGGTCCGAGGTGCGGAACGCGGGGTCCGGGAGCTTGGGGTGCGGGGTGCGGGGTCCCGGGGCGCGGGCACGCGCTCACAGGCGGCGATGATGTCCCGCGCGCGCAGCAGCTGCAGGTGCGTGAGGATGCGCACGAGGTCGGCCACGCGCGCGTTGCGGTTGATCCAGGGCCACAGGACACTGGCCGTGCGCTGCCCAGAGCGCTCGCACAGCCGCAGCTCCGTCTGGTCGCGCACGATGAGAGCCGCTGCGGGGCGGCGGGCGTCAGGCACGACGCTCGCAGCCCGCGCCCCCCACACCCCGCCGTCCGCCGCCACCCACCGAACTGGCACCAGTCGGCGGGCTCCAGCGCGTCCATGACCTTGTAGAAACGGCACATGACCCAGGGCGGCACCTCGTACAAGAAGTGCTGCGCGCCAGGCACCGCGGGCTCGCCCGGGCCCGGCCCCCCGGCCATGGCCGCCACCCCGGGCCGGGCCTCTCTGGGCCTCTCGGGGCCGCGGCGGGCGCGGGCCTGGGCCTGGGCCTAGGCCGGCCGGCTCCGCGGACACTGACTCACTTCCCCTTCGCCCCGGCCGCGTGCGACGCCTGGCGGGGCGGAAGAGGCGGCGCCCGGGCCTGCCGCCATCTTGTCCTCCTCCGCGGCTGCCGCCGTCGCCGCCGCCTCGGCCACACGGGGGCGCCGCGCGCCGGCCCGGGCGGGGAGCGGCGGCTGTGCCACGAAGAATAGCGGCCCCAAGAGGGCGCGGGGCAGCAGGCGGGAAGTTCCCTTCCTAGCCGCAGGAACGGCAGGCAGGGCAGGTGACATGTGGGTCACAAAAGGGCCGCTGGCGTGACACTGCTTGTGGACAAAAGCCTGGGAGCAGGCAGGGGCGTCTGACTCTTGGCTTTGCTGGGGGCGCCCTCTCTCGCCCCCCCCCCCGACCCATCGTGGCTCCTCCCTCGTGTCCGGCAGGGGACAGGGACGTGGCGCAGCTTCTCCTCCCATCATGGAAGCAGACACCAGGCTGCTTCCCCGCGCGGGTCTGCCCGCCATCCCTGAGTGTGCCCCTGCGCGGATGGCTTCGGCGTCTGCAGCTGCGCCTCAGCCCCGGTTTGGCCGTCGCTCAGCTCTAGGAAGGCCTCTCCTTCCCGTGGGCTCACCGCCCTCGCCATCACCCATTACCTTCTCATCCCCATCCTGGAGACTGGGGACAGAGCCTAGGGCTATCACACATGGCGGGAAACACTGTACCGCTGAGCCACACACCCAGCCCTCGGTTTTCATTTTGAGAGACGGTGCTCCCTCACCGCCAGGCTTGGCCTCAGACTTGGAGCCACCAGCCTCAGCTTCTCAAGCAGTTGGGACCCCTTACAGCGGGGGCCTTCTCCAGAGCAGTCTGCTCCCGAGCTTTCTGAGGCTGTCAGGGTGGCCTGGAGGGCCGCCTGGCCACCTCAAGCATAGCCCTCCAGAGGCACCACAAGCCTTAAACCACCTGAAGCCCCAGCACAGGGCTGGCCGCGCCGGCTGCCTGCTCTTGCACTGTTCTGGGGTGCACCTGACCAGCCGTCTCAGGCCACCCCCACTGTGGAGCTCTCCGGCTGCTGCCCCCATTCCTGTCTTGTGTGGCCACAGGGCCCGGTGCTGCAAAGGGCTTCCCGTGACCACCAGCCTGCCCTCTCCCTTGACACTTCGGGCTTTTTTTGAAACAACTTGTGGCGGAGACCTGGAAGAGGTTCGCCAAGGCCGTAGCCACAGTGGCTACCGTCAGGAAGCTGGCCATGCCACAGGCCCGGATGGCTTCGCACGGGATGGCCCTCACGGCTGTGTGGTGACTCCAGGGCAATAAAGGTCACATCTGTGCACATGAGCCCTGGGGCTGGGACGTGGTGGTCCTTATGCTCTCAGGATAGTGCTTATATACTGCAGCTGCTCCTTCCCTAAACATGAAAGGCTGGAGTGCTTTCTAGTATGGGGGAGCTACCATTGCCTGTGAACCCCAACTGAGGGTGGTGGGAAGCCAGTGGCAGCAGGGCCCCTCTGGCCAGCGTCCCATCACGCCCTTGCCAGATGGCCACCCACAGGGTCCTGCAGTGAGTTGGGTGCCTGCCGGAGAGTAGGCGCACGGCCCACATGGCACTTTCCTGGCTGTCCCGGGCTGGAGGGGACTGCTGACTTACAATGAAAGCCCAGACCTTGAGTCACTTTCACAGAGAGGTTTATCGAGAATGCTAACAGCACAGGATACAGTACTTCCCCACAGAAGGTGCAAACGCGTCACTTAGAAAGGCATGCTGAGTTTTCTTTGCTTCACATGTGTTAAAAAACTTACAAAAATAAAATAAAACTGCGTGCTGCCCATCTTTCCAAATAGTAAAAGAACCTTATGAAAAAAATCACTTGATTTTACAACAAAAGACACAAACGGACATTTTTATGTAAATTTATAAGGCAAACTCTTTATATAATAAATAGGTTACAGGGATTCAGTGGGGGGTGTTTTTGAAACGTATACAGGTACATTCAGACAGGTTTACTGAAATGGTACAAATTTCCTTAATAAATTGCCTTTTGTTTTTAAATATATCAGTGCTTTCAGTCATTTGGCTATACACAAAGAACCTTTTTTTAACACTACAAAAAAGCAATCAATAATTTTGTTTTTTAAAACAACCTACTTATTTTCTAAAGTAATTGTCCCAAAACACAAAAACTGAAGTGAATGCGACAGAGGGCTTTTAGAGACCCCTCCAGCTAAGTCTGTCCCAGGCCCCATGGACCACCTCTGGTGTCAGGTGGCAGCACTGTCCCATGGATCTCAGCCTCCGGGATGGCACAGGGGAACGGGACTGGGACTTGGAGGGGGGGACCCTGCCTGGTTCTTCTGGCCACTAAGCTTCACATGCAAAGGTTGCTCCCAGCCTGCTGGGTTCACCTGAAGGTGAGCCCACAGTGACATCTACTAAGGTCGATGAGGTCCATGGAGATGGCTCCGCTTGCCACAGGGAGGGAAGGGGTTCGTCAGCTCAGATGTGGAGCTCACTGGATCAACCAGGCAGTCACGTTAGCAACAGGATGGGGTGTGACAAGTGCCTCCGTGGGATGCCCTTTGTCCACCTGGCTGTGTCCAGGAGGAGCTGTGCCCCAGGCATGGCGTGGCCAATCCATCCTCCACTTGTCTACCTAGCCCCTCCTCCTGTGGCCACCCTCCCTCCAGGCTCCCCTGGAAGGAGCATGGATCCTGTCTTTACTCACAGATGACTATGTTAACACTGGGGCAGGAGCATGGAAGGAACCCACTGTGTGGAACAAAAGCTGCATCTGCCCAACCTCTGCAGACAGCACCCGCCGGCCTTCCCCGTTCTGGCTCGAGTGGGCCTCTAGGGCAGGCTCAGGACCATCTGGCAGGGGTGATCACTTGGGTCAGCCCTCACGTCCCGGTCACCGTCCCCCTCCCTCCGAATGCTCTGCTTGCAAAGAAAAGGTATCTAAAGCATTTGTCTCTGGAACAATTACTTTAAACATGGTTACAATACAGACTTCAGTTCAAACACAGAAGAGATTTACTTAGCAAAGTCCCTTTCACCCACCAAAATTACACAGATAGAAGCCTCCACACCACAGTTAAGAGGACCAGTAGAGAAAACCTCATGTTTGGAACACAAAAGGAGAAATAAAAACCAAACCAAACCCAAACAGAAGACAGGGAGGGTGGGAAGGCAGGGAGGAGGAGTGAACACAGCACACATTACAGTGTCCAGGTACATGGAGGCCTCCGGGGAGGACTCGGCACAGTTAATAACAGTCCTGGTGATATTTGGTCACATATCCGACTACTGACTCTGGGGTGGCCGTCATTGATTGAAGCGTTGAGAAATCAAATGGAAAGGAGGCCGTGGTGGGGGGAACAAGTAGGCTGTCTGTGGCTTTTGAGCCCCACCATCCAGCTCCCAGGAGTAGAGCAGGGTGGTCCTGCTCTGTCCGGGTGGAGCTAAGGTCACCAGGGGTGCCCCCCTGTCAGTGGTCGGACATCAGGGGTGCTGCCTGCTTCCTCCGCCCCTCCCAGGTGGCCGCTAACCCTGAGCATGGGGAGCGGCTGCCCCGGTCCATATCTTCTGCCCCATCCCATTGACACTGTCCTCAGCAGCAGCAGCACGATGCAGGGGTGAGGTTCTGGCCCTGGTGATTATATATTATGCTCTCTGCTTTGGAAGAACATTTCTGGATTCTAGGTTTTTCTGTGTGTGTATGTGTGTTAAATGACTAAAAAGTGATCAAAAAGAACTGTTACTGCTAATCTCTCTAGCAGATATTGCTCATGAAAGATTATAAAAGCAAATGCAATTACTCATGGTAGGGGATAGAAGAGTACATTGCTGGAGTCTCCGATACTTCCTGGAGAGACGCCCCGGACTGTCGCCCACGGATCCGGGGTCCCTGGCGCTCTACCTGGTGTGGACTCCCCTTTCCCCTCCAGCCCCCAGTCTTGGGTCACTCTGCGGGGTGGGGGATCAGGAGACTTGCGTGCTCCTGTGGGGAACTGTCTACCCCCACCTCTGCTCAGCACAGGGAAACCCTTGAGGAGGAGGAAAGACCACAGATCTGCTTGGACCGAAGAAGTGACCAGCAGACAGATTTGTTGGTTTTTTTTTTCTTTATTTTCCCTTGTCCTATGCTATGGTTAGCAGAAATATTCTAATTAAGCAACAGGTATAATTTTAACAGGTCTTTTTTGTGTGGAGCCACAAGCAAAATGAGTTTATAATTGTGCAATATACATATATATATATCTATATATATATAAATTCAACTGCTTTGTGTGTCTGGTTGGTGTATAAAATAAAAGGGGCAGGAAAACTAAAAGCAAAACTCAAAAGCAAAACAAAAGCCCAGGACAGAGGAGCCGAAGTAGGCCTGTGAGTAATCTCTAAGTTACTGGACAGGATCAGGGTCCCCCGGAAGGTCGGCTTTGCCACTTGACACAAACACTGCTGGGGAGAAGGTGACTGGCAAATCTCTGCTCATTGCTGAGCAGGACCGGACAGACAGCAGCTCCAGCATTCAGACTCCAGTCTGTTCCCAGCAGAGATGGAGTGGGCAAGGCCTGTCCTCCCTCCCACTGGCCCCAGGTGAGCGCAGCTCTTCAAGGGTGGGGCAGAGCGTGCCAAGGCTAGAGGAGTCGGGGTGAGGAGTGCTGGCCTCACACTGCTAGCGCCCATCCCTTTCAGAAGCGGTGTCCCTGATGACAGTGACCCCAGGAGTGACAATGACAAGAGGCCCCTTGCTCCATGCCTCTGGTGCAGGAGGCCTCTGACTGGAGTTCCCCATGTCTGTCACATTCACCAGACATTTCAGGCCGCTGAGTATTTTTGGACTGGCATTTTTGCAAAAGCTTGCCCTTATTCAGAAACATCAAAGTGTAGTTTTCTCCCAAATGTTTTCTAGATTTTCCTTCTCGATTGTTGTGAACTGGTCTCAAGGTTCAATTTTCCCCCCTTAATATGTAATTTTAGACCCTGGAGGAGGCAGTATCCTAGCGATTTATAACAATTAGACCTAAGCCTTTTCTAAAGATTGATACAATATCTAAAAGAGAAAGACATCAAAATGGAGAGAATCAACAAACCCCTTCGTAACAGAGCTGTTCATAGGCTGAGAGAGCAGAACAGAGGAGGAGTGGGAGGCGGACAGAGTGCGCAGGGCGTGTCCAACCCACCCGGTGGCCCCTTCCCCTCACCCGCGGCAGCGGCCCGAAGCCCGATTGGTGCAGGAACCGGGCCACTGGTCCTGGAGCTGTGGACGTGAACCGGCCCACCTCTAGAACTGATCACAGGGAACGGGGCAACGGCACCCGGGCTTCCCCCGTTGGGTTCAGTCCACGCCCTCTGGCCCTTTCATGGGCTGGAGCCACTTAAGAGTCACTTAAACCTTGGAGGTCCTGCCGGCTAAGGCAACTTCCCACCCAACGTGGCAGTTTGTTTCTGGTCGTCTGCTTTCTTGCGATCACCATCACAGTAATGACAAGCTGGGGCTGCTCCGGGTCCCACTTCCGATGTTGGCGGCCTCTGGCAGACTCATCTGCACCCACATTGAGGTGGCAGCTTTCCTCGGCCCAAGCGGAGAGGCTGGGCTCCTTGGCTAGTTTGGCACTGATGGACTGGGGCAGGTGGCATGTCTAGGTGTCCCCTGTGCCTTCTGATGCGGGAATACAGTGCCACACAGAGGAGCTAGGTTGTGGCCATGACCCAGCCCACTACCCTGTGGAGGCCGGCTTTTCACTGGATGTGACAAGAGCCACCAGCATGCATGGGCATACCAGGGAGGACAGGCGGGTTCTGTGGGGGAGGAGGTAGTAACTATCGACTAACAGGGTGGAGGGACTGTGGGTGTGTCCTTAATGACATCACCCCCGGGTATCTGAAAGCTGACAGTCTCTTCTCGTATTCTTCAGTCACTGAAAGGTGCCCTCCCCCAGTCTTCATAGTGCTCAAGCACACACAGAATCGAGGTCACACCCTAAAAATGGGCCGGACACAGCTGGTGAGAATCCCGTGGCTTAAGGCTTTCCCTCCAACCTCCTGTCAACCCGACCCCAAGGGGGGGGGTCTCGGAGTGGCAGGACCCTGCCCAAGGAAAGGTGACTGACATGTGATACTTTCCTTTCCATGGGGTAGGGAGCGCAGAGGAAACCCTAAGGGAGGGAGCCTGGGAGCAGGGGGCTATGAGTGGGGATAAACTGAAAGAAAATGACACCCGAAACAGCCAGCGGCCGGGGCCCACACTCCTCTTCCCAGGCCCGCGGTCCACTCCCAGGACAACAGACATCTTGTCTGTGGCCTGGGCAGGTGTCCTCTGGGGGTATTGGGAGTGCAAGACCACTGTGAGACCAGGGCCCTTTGTCCGTGGAGGAAGAGGAGTGCTGAAGGCCTTGTCCCCTCCTCCAACCACACTCCCTTCCTGGGAAGGAGGTGGGAGGGAGGCGGAGGACGAGTGCAGAGAGGGTAAAGGAGCCGGGCCGTTGGACGGGCATCGGCTGGTAGGAGTGGGACAGGACAGGCTGGCAGCATGGTATGGGGAGAGGGACACTGAGAGGCTCAAGTCTGACTACAACTACGGAACAGAACGGGCGAACTCCCTCGCTCCCAACCGTCCCGGAGACAGACATGGGTTATCTGAAGCTACTGATTGGAACTGTCCACTAGGGTGCTGATCACTAAAACTGGCGCGGAAGTGCTAGACAGTTTCTAAGATGTTTCATCCTTCATGATTACACCGCAGTAAGGAAGCGGGACGAGAACTGAAATACACGAGACAACACGCACTTGACAGTTCGTGGCAGCAGCTCACGCGGGACGTGCCTGGGGGTGGTTCTGAAGCGTAAGTCTGCTGTCTCATTTGCTACTTTGATAAGGTACTTCTCAGATGGACAGATTTAGATATAAGAGACATCTCTGTAAACACAGAAAAGGATATACCAATATGATGAAGATATGCAGCTAGATAAGGACTTCCTGAACAGAGGTGAGGACTTTGGGATCCAACAGAAACTGACCAAGCCTCTCACCCCACACCACACTCACAGGTGGACTGGCGGAGGTGGTGGCCTGGCCCCACGCGCCTCCATCGAGCAAAGCGAACGACTCCACCGGAAAGGACTGGGTGAGGAAAGGACAAGCAGAGGGGGCTGAGCCCAGGTGCCAGTCCCACTCCCAGTCCCAGTCTTGGGTCAGGTCTTATCACCTGGAGCCCTGCCACATGCCACTAGCCCCGTTGGGCTCGTTGGTGACTCTGGCAGACTGGCCCTTGGATACCAGATGTGGCCAGCATCCCTGGCTCGCATCCCCTGGGCCCAGGAAGGAAGGCCTATGGGGCGGGTGCAAAGCCCCATGCCTCCTTTCAGCAAGGAAGAGGGCAAGACATGCTGCCCTCAACCTGCCCCTCAGAAGCTGGGAGGACAGCAGCTGGGGTTGGCAGCGGGGCTGAAGAGCCAGGAGGCTCTAGGGGTTGGAGCCGACCCCAGTGGGCTTGGCATGTGGGTGGGCATTGTGGGTGCCTGCGGAGAGGACGAGCTAGGAGGCGGGAGAACAGAGGATGGGAGGAATGAATGAAAGGCAGAGATGGAAGGGCAGAGGAGAAACCAATTAGGAAGTCCTTATAAAATTGCAGCAAACACTTAGAGTTTCGGAGCTTCGTGGGAACCCTATGTGCTGAGCCCACTTTAAAACAAGCGCAGGTATATATATACAGATCCAGGTAGTTCGGAACACCCTCGCATCTGGTGGCTTGAGGGACAGAGTGTCCCCAGTTCAAGCCCAGTTGCTTTCGAAGCATGTTTGTTTTGAAGTGGGAACATGAAGACTCAATAGTGCAAATAATTCTATGCTGTCCCTACAGGAGAACTGGAAAGTGGCTGGAAGAACAGTTTCAAGACTCTCCTCCCCGTGCCCCTTGGCCTGTCCCCAAGGCCCTCTCAACCAGCCAGGCTACTCGGAGCGCCAAGGCATCCCGCCCTGCAGCTGGCCCGCACTGTCCTGCCACCCCTATGGCCCCTCTCTGGCGCCACGCGCCTATTCCCGGGCCACCCTGTCCTGCAGCTCAGGTCGGTCTGCACTTGCAGTACAGGGCTTCCTCCGAGCCGGGCCAGAGCAGATAGGTGCCACTTGCCTGTCCCATGAAATGTCCTCGTCAGTGTTGGGTTGGGGCTGGCATGGGGCTAAGCTTGTGCTGCCGCATGTGGGACACGGTGGGCTGCAGCCACTGAGTTAACCCCCCCCCCCGTCGTCTTCTTTAAAGAATTCGACGGCCTCTCTGCTCTGCCTCCCTGTTCCACTGCGGTCAGAGGTGGGGGAGCCGGGGGAACTGGGTGCTGTGGGCGGGGCACCAATGGCACCAAATGAGAGTGTCCTCTCAACTGCTGTCCATCCGACTGTGACTGGGTGGGGGCGGAGGGGTGGGAGGGGAGGTGCCTGGTCAACAGCTTGTCTGGTCAGTAGTATCTGCAGCAAGCCTTGTTGAAGGAGCCTAGTTTAGAAAAGTGCAAAGCTACTTCTGGCCCTGGTTAGGTCTTCAACCTGACTGTGCTTGTCGGTAAGAAAAACATCCCCAATGCTCCAACTACTCCCACCCTGAAGCCACGAAACTCTAAGTTTACTGAAAGAAAAAAAAATATTTTTTATTTCAGTTAATCGGGAAGCTTTGTCAGAGCCCTACCCATAAGGAGAAGAGACAACAGCTGCCTTTATTCTTGTTGGTTCGCTTTGCAGGCCGCGCAGAGGAAAGTCAGCTAACTCTCTCGGTCACGGGCGTCCGGCTGTCCACAGGCTCCTCTCTGTTTGGCCTCGGCATGGAGGATGAAACAATGTCTTTGCGCTCTCCCTCCCCTCGGTGTTTGTACTTTTCTGTGGCCGGGGCCGGGGCCAGGGCTGGGGCCGGGGCTGGGGCCGGGGCTGCAGCCGGGGCTGGGGCGGCGCTGGGGACCACGGGCTGAGTCTTAGCTGGCTCCTTAGGGCAGCCGTCGCTCTCCAGCGCCCCTCCTCGGGGCATCTTCTCCTCCTTGCAGATGCTGCCGCTCAAGTCCTGGGGCTCGGGGGGGCTGGCAGGGTCCTCGGAGCTCTCGGGCTCAGGCAGGGGTGGGGGCGGGGGCGGCAGCGGTGGCGCGGGTGCCTTCGGGGACTCCATGTGGTGATGGTGGTGGTGGTGTTCCTTCTTGGGGGGTGATGAGGCGCTGCTGCTGCGCCCCTTGGGGCTGCTCTCTTTGCTTTTCCGCCCGGGGCTCTTGCAGGTCTTCAGTCCCTTGCCGCTCTTCTCACCAAGGGTGGACACGATCAGCGGTTTCACCACCTCCTTCACCTCAATGCTCACCGTCTCCCGGGTCTTGCGCTTCTTGATGGGGAGCACGGTCTCCTGCACGGAGCGGATGGAGGACTCCTTCACAGCCTTCTTCTTGGCCTCGGCAGCGGCAGCAGCCACCACACTCCCGGGCTTCCGGCCCCGCTTCTTGGGGATGGCCTGGGGGTCGGCCTCAGCTTTTCGCTTGCGGCCTGGGCGCTTGATCACCATGACCTGGGCCGAAGTGGTGGCCCCACCCCCCTCAGCCTTGCCCCCGGGCGCTGCCTGGAAGGGCATCTTGACCAGCAGCTTCCCTGGGCTCTTCTCCAAGACCCTTTTCACCTGAACACCTTCAGATGCTGCTGCCTTGGGTCTCGCGGAGCCACTCCCTTTGGGGCGTCCCCGGCCTCTGCCAGTTCCTGGAGCTTTGGGAGATTTGGGCTTCTTAGGTGGTCTCTGCTCTCGCCGAGAGGGGCTCCCTCTCCCAGTTACCGTGAAGTCAAAATCGTTAGGGTCCAGGGAGGTATCGCCTACCTTTTCAAAGTATGCAATCAACTCCACTTTAGAGCGGAAGGCTTTTCCCTGGGGACTGTGGGACAACAAATGGAGAGATATAAAGAACAGTCAGGTGCATTCCTGGCAAGATTAGAGACAGGCAGAGTGGATAGGGCTGATGAGCTCTGTGAACAACAGTCACCCCCAAGAGAAGCCAAGGGTGTGAGAACTGGAGGGGCACAGCTCGCACAGAGCACCTGTGCCCACTGTTGCCGACCAGGTTCTGAAGGTCCAGAGGACTGGCCTGTGGCAGGCTGCTTGGGGCACCCATGGCCTAGCTATAGCCCACAGGAGGGGTGAGGCTCCCCGCACCACCCCGTCATCTGCACACTGAGTGTCTGAGCTTAGGTCCAGCCCTGGGGCTCACTGGGAGTCAGCTCCCCTTCAGAGATATGGCATGAAACAAAGCTCTGGGAAACTGCCAGTTTTCCTGGGCTCACTGAGTGGGCAAAACTGCCAGTTTAGAGCTGGGCACGTGCAAGAAGGACAGTGGGCAAGGCTGGACATGAGGCTTGTCTGGCTCTCCACCTGGAGACCCTTTCCCGGGGCTTGTTCTCAAGAAAGCAACCAGAGGAGATCCTCTCCCCTTCCATCTCTAGATAAGCATCCCCTGGCAAGCAGGCAGGTCAGCACGGTCTCTGAATCACTCCCAGCCCAGTGCTCAGCCCCGCCCCGCCCCGCCCCGCCCCAACCCGCCTGAGTGGCCTATGTAGTTTCCTGGTCAATTCCAAGGGACATGGGTTCAGCATGTCCCCTCCTGCTGTCCAAGCCCTGGCTGGCAGGGACAGCACCTACTCACTCACTTGATCAAGTAGACATCGTACTTCCCAGCTGAGCGGCCAGACTTCCTTTGCTTAAGTTTCCTTGTCCAGCCTTCGGGCAGGGTGGGGTCATCATACATGGGCCCCCGGTCCCGAATGATGGAGCGCCGCTGCTTTGGGGAGGCGGACGCTTCCGGGACGGCTGGGGCGGAGCCTGTGCCCTCTGACGTTTCTGCCTTGCCTGCCTCTGCTGGCTCTGCAGAGTGGTGCGCTGAGGGCTGCAGGGGCTCATGCTTGGCTTCCTTGTCTTCCTTCTTATCTTTCTTCACCTTTTTAAACTTCAGGGGTTTGTCCTTCAGGCTCTGGAGGTCCTGGTCCTCTGACTTCTCTTCCCTGAAGTGTTAAACAAAAACGTAAGTGTGACTATCACAGGTAACACAGTGCTGCAGAAAAGCAAGCGCAGGCAGGCTCGGGAGCCCACCGACCACAGGCAAGGCCCAGGGATTTCCTCAGGGCCCACACGCTGGGCTTTGGGGAGCAGGGGTGGTCTGATTGACTAAAGTGTGTGCAGGCACCCGTTGGGTATGTACGCAATGGCACGAAGCCTGGGGGCAGGTGGGGTGGGCACAGCCCAAATCCTGGCCCTGCCACTTTCCACTTTCCCAACAAGGTCCAAGCTGAGTGGCCTCAGGCTTCTCACTTGAGCAACGGGAAGTACATCCCAGAGGTACCCTCACTATCTCAGCCCTGAGAGCCAACTGGGCACCAGTGGTTACTGCCCATAATTCTAGCACAAGGAGAGAGTGATCCCAAGCCACATGGGCCTCTACTGGAAGCTGCCCCCAACCACGGCACAAGGAGGGCCGTGGTCTGGGAGCAATGGCATGCCTGCCCCACTGGGGCAGAGGGCATCTCCAGCGGCAGTGGCAGCACCTTTCCTATGCACCTCCAGGCCCTGAGGAGGATTGGAAAGCAGCAGCCTACAGCCTGATCTGGAGAAAAGTGTGACCATTCCTGTCCCATGGGCCACTGCCCTGCAGTGGGTCCGCCTGAGAAGCATCCCTGCAGCACTTTGGAGACAGCAAAGGCACCTTGGTAGGACCTGGATGCTGAGCGATGTACTGAGGTATGAATGAGGCTGAATGGGGCGGGAGGCAGCAGTGTCGCCCACAGCATGACATGGACTCACTCCGCCCCAGCTGGTGCTCAAGTCCCTCGTCTGCCTGTGTCTCCTTTCAGCAATGCAGGCCCAGCAGATGAGGGCTGCTGGGTCTCTCAGGCCCTGACGTACAGACACACGGTGTGCATCAGCCTAGCCTGAGGGTTGGTGACTACGAAACTCTCACCAGCATGGTGTCAGCTCTGGAGCCTGCAACCCTGAGGCCTTCCACACAGCCACCCCAGGAGGCTTCCCAGAAATGGCCCTGTGCACCTCCATCCACGCCGAAGACTACAGACCCCACGGCCTGAGGAGGATGGGCTGCTGGGGGCACATTCAAGCCCCTCAGTACAGTATAGAACACAACGCCAGCTGCCCCATGTGCAGCACTGCAGGAGGCAGGATGGGCCAGCAATGAATGTCACTGTCAGGTGGCTTGGGGCTACGCTACCGGAGGAGACATGGCTGAACTCTGTTGGTAACTGATTTCTGATTCATTTGAATTTTTATATAACCAGAAACAACTACAACAAAAAGTCACAAAAATCATACCCATTACACTGACTGCAGGCAGGAAGGAAGACACGAGCCTAACTGTCTAACAGAGGGCAACCCACCATGGAGGAGAGGTATCCTGTGAGACATCCCAGGAATGAGCACACACCGGACTAGTTCCCAGAAGGACCAGGGCATTCTGCTTTGGCACCTTGTAGCACCAGAGGAGTAGAGAGGGAGGCCAGCGAGGACCCTGCAGGGGTACCAGCAGCACTGGGCACTGGTGTGGTAGAGGGACATACGAAAGACCACATGAAAAGGTCGGCAGGGTGGAGGTGCCACTGCTGAGAAGGGAGCTCAGGTGACAGTCCCTTAGTTGTGGCTTTTGAGGGCAACATCCAAACATGCATGGGCTGACTTGGAACTCAGTGAACTATTCGGTTTACTCCTTCAGGGTTTAAAAACCATGGCAAAAATATGTAAAAAGATTTACCATTTCTTTCTTGTTTTTTGGGACAGGGTCTTGCCATATAGTCTGGGTTGGCCTCAAACTCAAAATCTTCCTGCCTCGGTCTCCCAAAAGCAGAGATTAAAGGCATGTGCCACCACGCCTGGCTCTATGTTGACTGTTTTAACCATTCCTAAGTGTATACCAACTGCACCTTTATTAGCACTGAAGATGGGGAATAAAGGGCCATTATCTGTTAATATCCTAGTAATAATCCTTCCTAATATCCTTTTGAACTACAATTATATCAAGCAAATAATTACCATATGGTGATTTTTAATTCCTAACAATGAAAGGCTCACAGGTGTTTGCCACTGTTTTTTCTTGCTGGTAATTTAACATTTAAAAATAAATACAGCTGGGTGTGGCAGGACACACCTGTAATCCCAGCACTTGGGAGGCTGAGGCAGGAGGATCGCTGTGAGGCCAGCCTGGGCTACATAGGGAATCCAAAGCCAAACTGAACAACATAGTAAGACCCTGTCTCAAAAAAACCAGAACCAAACTTTGTAACAAAAGTTCACTGAGCTGTTATTTAACAGGTGACCCAAATGAGTCTCCCCTCAGAATGAGCCTATCCAGTCCAGAAACTGCTGGCCCTCTACACAGGATCTAGGGGCTGCTGGGCTGGGCATCAGTGACAGCACAACACGGCTCCCCAGCAGGCTTGGGTGCTTGCTGATGCGCATGCTTTTTCAAGGAAGCCGAGCATCCCCTCAGTCTTCCTCTACTCAGAGCGTATGAGTACACACACACACACACACACACACGCACACACACGCACACACATGGAGTCTTGGTATTTTGTTTTTGTGATACTAGGGATTGAATACAGGGCCTTCACACTGAACCAAAACCCCAACTCTTTTTATTCTTAAAAAACAATGTTAGCAGAGGTCTCACTAAGTCACTCAGGCCAGTCACTCAGGCCTTTGATTTGTGAGACAGGCTCTAAACTGTGTAGCCCAGGCTGGCCTCAAACTCAGTGATCCTCCTGTCTTGGTTTCCTGAGTGCTGGGATTACAGAGAGTTGAGTCTTTGGTTCCCATGTTCACAGGTTCAGAGCTGAACGCAGCCTCAGAAGACCACCTCAGAAGACTCTTGGCATGTTCCCTTGCATATTCCCACATAGGGGGAAAAAAGTTCAACTGCACAAAAGGGCTCACCTGCAGGCACTGCCAAGCGCAGCAGCCCGCATGCTCAAGGACAGTCATGATCATACCTGTCCCAATGCCACAGTGCTGCCCCCGCCACAGAAAAGTGAGCAACGACAGCCTCTGGTGTCACCAGCAGGGTTAGGCTGAGAGCTCCCTCAACTTCATATGCAGGTTGGTCAGGACAGCTCTTCCTTTTCTGTGCCCGCCTGCTCAGCACAGCCCTGGGTGCAGCAGCAGTGATTATTCAGGAACACGCGCTCCTCCTCTCCCCTGCCATGGTGAGACACACGGGGGACGGAACCCAGAGGCTCTGCCCTGAACCACAGTCCAGCCACTTTGCATTTTTATCTTGAGATGGTATCTCACCAAGTCACCTAGCTGCTCAGGCTGGGTTGAACTTGCCACCCGCCTGCCTCTATCTCCCAGACCAGTGGGATGACAGGTGTATGAAACCATGTCTAGCTCATGCCTCCTCCTTCTGATGGCTCAAAGCAGGCAGGCTCCAGGAAGTGAATAAACAAGTGCTGAGCCAGAGACTTGGGATGGCAGGAGACACACGAGAGGTCACTGAGGGCCTTGGTGTCACAAGGATAGATAGCACTATGGAGGGTGGTTGTGCCAGGAGGACAAGCTGGCCCTGGCAACACAGCCCATGATCCTCCTGCTGAAACGACCTATGTGTTGAAGCTGGAAAGAGCGCACCTGTGACAGGCACCTGAGTGTGGAGCACATGGCCTGGAGAGCCCGGAGCCTCACAGGTTGTGGGCTGGATGTTGCCGAGGGACATGTTCCGGGAAGTGTGAAGGAGCTGGGTGCCCCGCTCTACTTCTTGCATGTTGTGATGGGACAGTGTGGTCTGTTCTCAGGAGAGCTGGGAGGAAGTGTTCAGGGGCTAAGCTTTAAAGCCACTATGCCTGTGACTAATGTTCCAGCAGTGAATGAATCAGGGGATCTAAGTGGTGCCAATATGGTATCATGCTTGAAGGGGGAAATGACATCAATGTAATTTGGAAGCTGCTGGCTGACAGTATTTTGGGTTTTCTCTGCAGTTCTGGGAACCCAAGGCCGTGAGCATGCTAGGTAAATAAATACTGCCACTGACCACATCCCTAGCCCTGAAAGTAAAATTCTGAAGCAGTGATGGGCAAGCTCCTCTCCCTTCCTGTCTGTCTGTCTTTGTAAGACAGTCTCACTGTGCAGTCTAGGCCAGACTTGAACTCACCACACAGACCAAGCTGGCCTCCAACTCCTGATCCTCCTGCTTGGGCAAGTCCTTGAACAAAGGGACTGCCTTCCTGTTACACAAAGACAAAGAGAGAAACAGCTGGAAACTTGAGGAAAGGGCTTCTTGCAGTGGTTTCCCAGTGCCACACTATGGTGAAGCTGCAAGTGGGACAGAAGATGCCAAGAGATCTTCCCATGTTTAGGAAAAAAGAAGGCCTTACCTAGGCTCTGAGTAACCTGCCTGTCCAGGGCCAAGCTGGCAAGGAGCTGGGCCGCACGAAGAAGCAAGGAACGACAGCAGTGCTCTCAGGGCCAAAGGCCAACAGAGCCTGCAGTGTCCCCAGCATTCTTGTAACCACAAGTGTGAGTGCCAGTCACCGAAGCACACAGGTGTGGTGTGGTCTGCCACCTGACCCCAGAATTTTCTCTAAGTGTTTACATTTTCACTGTGATTTGTAGAATGCACATATCACATTGGAATGGAAAGGCCTTCATAAATCTTAAATATCGACAAAGCAGATGGTAATACTCTCGAGTAATAATAAAACATCATCCAACGTTTCCGTTGCTAGAACACAAACATGAGCTCCAATCCTTCATTTAATGTGGCAAAGGAAAATCAAGGGTGGCAGGAATCCTTCAGGACTGAACACTCACATCCTGAGGGGCTGGATGGGCGATGAGTCACCCACAACAGTCCTGCTCCAACAGGCCTTGAAGGCAGCCCCACGAGGCATCCCTTTGGCTCATCTGACCCCAGGCAAGCAACCAGAGCAGCTTCAGCCAGCCAGCCCACCGAAGCTGAGGAAGGACTACTTAAGTCTAAGGTTTTCAGGTTAAAAAAAGTGGA